GATCAATATAATGATGTTGAAGTACCCACACACCCAATGTTAAGTGGTCAAAAGAGGTCTAGAGCTCCTTCATCGTACATTGATGACTTCTATGTCTATATGAGTGAGAAGATAGACAATCTTAGTGACCTAGATGAAATATATGACCCTTTTGATTTCAATGATGCTATGAAGTCACAAAAATTTCAAGAATGGCTTGATGCCATGAGAGAAGAATTAGATTCTATAGAGAAAAATAAAGTCTCAGATCTATGTGATTTGCCATCAGATAAGAAACCTCTAGGTTCTAAATGGGTATTTAAAAATAAATTAAAATTTGATGGATCAATTGATAAATTTAAAGCTAGGTTAGTAGCAAAGGGCTTCACCCAAAGCAAGGGAGTCGACTATGTCGACACTTATTCCCCAGTTGCAACATTTATATCCATTAGAATAATTTTGACAATCGTTGCACATTATGACCTAGAACTTTACCAAATGGATGTAAATACTGCATTCTTGAATGGCGAACTAAAGGAAACCATCTACATGAAGCAACATGAGGGTAAAGATCATATAAAGTATACAAATTAAATAAGTCTTTATATAATTTAAAACAATCTTCAAGACAATGGTATTTAATATTTCATGATGTCATCCTACATATGGGATATGAAGTAAATAGATTGGACCACTGTGTTTATATCTTGAAGAGTGGGAGTAAATTCATAATACTCCCATTATATGTAGATGATATCCTGATAACTGGAAATGACTTATAAATGATTGATAAAACTAAGTTATGGCTTTCTTCTATGTTTAAGATAAAAGATATGGAAGAAGCATCTTATGTCCTAAGCATAAAAATAACTAGAGATAGAAAATAAAAAATATTGTGCTTGAGCCAAGAGAGATAGCTTGACTCCGTTCTTAAAAGATTTCAAATGGAAAATTGTAAGTCATTGTCTACTCCTTTGAAAAGGGAGTAAAGTTGTCTAGGAATGATTATCTAATAGAAGGACAAGAAATGCCTAATGTTCCCTATGCACAGGCTATTGGTAGCTTAGTATATGCAGTATGATATACAAGACCAGATTTGAGTTATGTGGTAGAACTTGTAAGTAGATATCAAAGTAATCCAGTCATAGCTCATTTTAAGATGGAGTAAAGTTATCTGGGAATGATTGTCTAGTAGAAGGACAAGAAATGCCTAATGTTCCCTATACACAAGCTATGGGTAGCTTGGTATATGCAGTAGGATATACAAGACCAGATTTGAGTTATACCGTATAACTTATTAATAGATATCAAAGTAATCCAGTCATAGCTCATTAGTTGGAAAGCAGTAAAAAGAATTCTACGGTACATTAAGGAAACAAAGAATCTAAAATTGTTCAAGCTGATAAGCTTGAAGTTATAAGATATTCAGATAGAGATTTTAACCTAAACAAATGTGAGAAAGACATACTCTTTCTAAATCCAATCCCTTCTCTCTCTTCATTTATATACCCCAAACTTCTTTTTTTATCTCTCTTGCTGTATGTTTCACTCTCTCATACACTCTCTCCTCCCGTATTTATCTAAATACCTCTCTCTCTTTCTGTGTTTATCCAAACACCTCTCTCACTCCTCTCGGTAACCTCTCGCCACTCAGCAACTCTCTCCTCCCGTGTTTATCTAAACACACCTCTCTCTTCCTGTGTTTATCCAAACACATCTCTTTCTCTCCCTATACTTATTATATATTTGAGAGGAGATTGAGTAAGGGGAGAGAGATGAAAAACGTGAAAAGAGAGAGAGCAGGAGGAGAGAGAGTGAGGGGTTAGAGATGGAAAGATAAAGACAGAAGGGGTGCGAGGAGAGAGAAAACTTAAGGATGATGGTTTTTCAAAGAGGCATGTCCTTTTAGATTTGTTTAGCCTACAAAAAACAAGTTTAAAGTAGCTCAGTGGATTAGAAGAAATAAAATCTACAATTTTTATATTCCAAAATATCTTTTAAAACCTTGGGTCTATTGTGAAATGAAACATAAGAATAGGGGATATCGACCTATTTTTCCTAATTAAATATATGAAAACTAAAACATCAACTCCCTATTGTTATTTGGGATATTTTGGTCCCCTAAGTGATTTTATAAGAGACTACCCTTTAAATGACGAAAGAAGTTTCTATAAAACCGGGCTTTATGAAAACAAAATAAAAGCTCACCTCAAATCGTCATCTAGAAAACACTTTCAACAACAGAATCTCCATTATGGGTCTAAAATCAATTTCCAACAACAATAAATTGTGAAACTCAAATAATGGTATAGATCTTGCAGATCTATGAACACTTATTTTTATGGTGAAATGGGTGGTTTAGATAATTTGTTACAATATATACATACTATATTTAGAGCTTAAAATATTTAAAAAATAAAAAATATAAAAATTCGCAACAATAATGTTCAAGATCGATGCAAGGGTCTTCCAATGCTTGAATTGTAATTTTCAAAAAGTTATGAGGTGAGGTTGTACTTATTTTATTAAGGCTACAACCCTATCAAACCCTTTTCCTTAAGGGCCCATTTGGCTCATTGGATTCAAATTTTCAGGAGTCACTTTTCATAAAAAAGCTAAGCCAATCGTGCTTGGTTTGCTTAGAATTGACATTTTCGTTGGAATTGAGATTTCCATGGGATTCCTGAATACTCATTTTAAGCCTAAATTTTGGAAATCTCAATTCCACCAAAATAGGTGGAATTAACATTTCATGGAAATGATCCATTTTTCTACTGAAGAACAAAAATAATATTAAAATTTTAGAGAGAAAAACTACATCAAAGTTTAAATCGAGAAAACATACTAAAATTTTAGAGAGTGAAAATATATCAAATTTTAGAGATAAAACTTGTACAAAATTTTCAAGAGAGAAAATGTACAAACTTTTGTAGTGATAGAAACTATCTCAAATTTTTGGATAGAAAAACTATCTCAAATTTAAAATTTTAGGGAGGCCATATTAAAATTTTAGAAAGAGAAACTATCTCAAATCTTAAATTTTAGAGAGAGAGAGAGAGTTTCTAAAATTTTAGAGAGAGAAACTGCATTAAATTATAGAGAGGTGGACTAGTTAAAATTTTTTAAAGAGAAATATTTCAAGAGAGAAATTATTTCAAATTTTAAGTTTTAGAGAGACCATATAAAAATTTTAGAGATTAGAAACTATATCAAATTTTAGATAGAGAAACTACCATAAAATTTTTAGAGAGAGAAACTATCTCAAATTTTAAGATTTGAGAAGAGAAAATATCTTAAAACTTTAGAGAGATAAACTATATCAAAAATAGATAAAATACTTGAAATATTTAGGTAAAGAAACTATTTAAAAAAATTTAGATAGAGATACTATCCTAAATTTTAAGTTTTAGATAGAGAAAATATATTAAAATTTTAGAGAGAAAAACTATCTCAAAATTTAAGTTTTAGAGAGAGAAAATATCTTAAAACTTTAGGGAGAAACTACATCAAATTTTAGATAGAGAAAGTACCTAAAATTTTTAGAGAGAGAAACTATTTGAAAAAATTTAGATAGATAAACTATCTCAAATTTTAAGTTTTAGAGAGAGAAAGTATATCAAAATTTTAGAAAGAGAAACTACCTGAAAATTTTACGTAGGGAAACTATCTCAAAATTTCAGTTTTAGAAAGATAAAGCATCATAAAATTTTAGAGAGACTAATTAGATTAAATTTTAGAAAGAATACCTAAAATTGTTTAGAGAGCGAAACTATCTTAAAAATTTCGGAAAGAAACTACCTCAAATTTTAAGTTTTAGATAGAGAAAGTACTTTAAAATTTTAGAGAGAGAAACTATATCATATTTTAGAGGGAGAAACTACTTAAAATTGTTTAGAAAGAGAAACTATCAAAAATTATTTAGAGCGAGAAACTATCACAAAATTTTTATAAAGAGAAACTATATCAAATTTTAAGTTTTAGAGAGAGAAATAGAAACTCTATCAAATTTTATAGAGAAAATATATAAATTTTTTAGAGAGAAACTATCTCACAATTTTTAGAGAGATAAACTATTTCAAATTTTAAGTTTTTAAAAGATAGTGCATTAATTTTTTATAAGGAGAAACTATCTCAAAATTTTTAGAGAGAGAAACTATGCATTTCCAAGAAAAACATATTCCATACAATCCAAATAAAGAATTTGCATTTTCTTGATTTCTACCATATGCGATCCAAACAAATAACCGCCATTTCCAAGGAATCTCAATTCCAAGATTGAATTTTCCCAAGATTGAAAAATCCAATAATCCAAACAAGCCCTTAGGGATTGTATACAATGAAGCTATTTGCCTTTGATACATGGTGGTCACAATTACTCAAAACCATGCAATGTGAAATTTGATAGCTTGAATGTGTCACATAATTCGAGAAAAATTCTTTTAAAGTTTGAGCTTGGTCAATGAAATAATTGCAACCACTCAATTTCACATCCAATGGTCAAGATTAATATGATCACCTTATACCAAAGCTAAATGGTCTCATTCTATACTCCGCTCTCGTTAAATGATATTTTCCTTCTTTCTCATTGCAATTGAACAGATATCTCTCTCCCAAATCCCAATAAACAGCCACCAGTCATATTTCATAGTTCCTTTATTAGAACCACTCTATTTTTATGGATTTCATAATGCCCCTCATAGCAAGAAACCAACTTTTACTTTCTTTACTTCTTTTCTTTTTTTTTCTTTTTTTTTGTGTAATGTTAAACTTGGGAACTAGATAATAGAACTCTAGATGTCAGTGTGGGACCCACAACTCTAACAATGACGAACCCACACCATCCAAACCTGAACCATAGGACAGCAAATGGGACAAGGTCGACTCCACTTCAACCAGGAACCGGCCTAGTCCAAGTCAATCGGAACAGAAACAAATGCTAGGTCAGGTCAGGAGTATGGTCCAAGTTCATTGGATCCATCACACACGATCCATTTCCAAGGTCCAGACAATCTGCACCCTATTGAACCGTCCATCCAAACAATCGAATCAAAGCGAGACCACCTTTTGAAAGATGAGCACGCATCATCAAATTTGATTCCTAGTTCATTTGCAGTTAAAATCACAAATTTTCATCATTACAAGATCTCCAAATGTTTTATAGCTCATATGGCTTCATCACTTAGAAGTGCAGAAGCAATTTTTGACAATGTAAGATTTTCGATTTCCCATAGACACCTTCATTAATATCGATTATTTCTGTTCTCCAACCAATGAGCTTTGTGAGTGCTTCAACTCTCACAAGGAGGGACACTGAATCCCGGATATATGCGTGCCCTCCAGGGCGTAAGATCCTGTCCATCTCAAGTAATATAGTAATGATCCCACACCTGCAAAACACAAAACATAAGATAACCCCCTCCCTCTCTCCCTCTCTCTGACATCTTTCAGTCATACCCCCCAACCTCTCTCTCCATATAATTGACAGATTTTTTGTCACTTTGCCATTTGGTGCTTGCTTCCATTCAGTTTTAGGAAAATGAATACAAGAACAACTTCAAAGTTTTTAAGGTTAAATATATGTCATTCTTGTCGCTGACTCACCTTTTGTCCTCTGTGGAGAAGATTCCAGATGCATGGAGGAGGTCATAGGTCCGTGGGTACGTATCAAATGGTTCGCACCTATCAATCAACCAAAACACCACTATATTAATTAACATGCACCTCCCCATCATATAAATCAAAAAATAAATAAGAATCAAATTCATATGGCATCCATATTGAACAGCATATGAAAAAACACGTGCATGCATGTGCATGCTCTATCTCTCTCTTGAAAACATTGGGGTAGTACAAGAAAGGACCAAAAATGTCTGATCTACATCACATGAAATGATACAGCAATGCACTATCCATGAACTTAGAACACAAGATAATTATAGCCATGCCTGGATTTTGTAATCCCCAACAATATGCATACTCTTGCATAAAATCATTTGAGCAACATACATATACACGCACTGAAAGAAAGGATCCATCTCAAAATAACCTAAATCTTGACTTAAACCACTCCAGTCCTTACTAGGGGCAAATACATCCATTGCTCTTGAATAAATGTGTTAAAGATAGAGAAATACACAAACAAGCCTACATACATTCAGGCATACCAACCAGGTCGCGTCTGACCCAGTAGTAGACCCGTCGGGACGGGTTCGGCTCCAGCCCGGACCTATCTAGGTCGGGTCAGGTTGGAATGAGTCATGTCTGGCTACCAGTTGATCCAACCCAGAAATTATATGTATCAATATCAGATTCCCATCCCACCGGGTGTATCAAGGAAACATTCATTAGAATAATGCAGATGTCTCCAGCCAATGTGAAAATAATGTGGAATAGAAACCGCTTTCAATGAAACGATGGGAGGAAACAGGAAGTACCAGTCATGGACAGCTCCAATAAGCCCTTGATCATAGATTAATGGAAGTGTATTAGGGCCACTCACAGGGATAACATTAATTATCCAGCACTTCATATCACTGGCAGCTAATGCAGCAGCAAATCTGAAAGAGAAGGAGCCCCAGAAGAAATGAAAAAAAGTACTAAATAGTAATACAAATTACATATTGAAACTGAAGAAACAATAATGTTATCAATTCTTATTTACGACACCAAAATAATTCATCCACCCCTCAAGAAAGAGTTACAATGCCTAAAGAACCCCATTAAACGGATAAAACCGTTTAGTCATCTTGATACACTATCAAGGTATATATCCAGGTTGCATACGAACATGCAATCCCTGCTTTAAAATCCTTAGGGTTAAGGGTAGCATGATGGGTATATAAAGAAAGCATTACCTAACAAAAGTAAAAGGCGTGTTTTCATTCTCACTATTTAATGAAGTACAATAAATTTACGTGTCAAGAAGAAAAACAATCAGAAGCATTCCAAGGTGCAACATATTTGTCAGACTTTTAACAAATGCATCATATATAGTCCAAAAAGAATCACAATGACTATGATTTTTCTAGACTGAGAAGTGATTTTAGCTTTTCTAATGTCATAATGCATAAAGGAAAATCTCTTATCTCTCTTAATGAATCCAATAATGAAACAAGCACTTGGGTATCATTTTCCATAAAGCTCATTTGCTAGTTTCAAGATAAGAAAATGCCAAGGTAAATGCGGGTACTCAAGTGATACTCCAATGTAATCTGAATCATAAGTGAATGAGCAGAGACCCTCCAAAATTGGCTCTCATGTCCATAACATTTCGGAACTGCAATTTTCTCCAACCAAGCTCATCAATGTAGCTCTGTACAGCCATCTTCCAATAAAACTTTTCTGCCAAAAATGCTTCCACTCTTGGTACATAAGCATCAAGTTCAACATTCTGCAATCTCTCAGGAACATCTAATGATTTGTAACGGTTTCGGACGGAGATTGAACGGACTCTTTCACGCAGTTTGGGAATGCAACTCTTCAATGGCACGTACCTGTCAAAGACACATTGAAATAAATTTTAACATTAGTGTGTGATTTTAAAGGGATTGTCTACAATGAGACTATTTACCTTTAATACAAGGAGGTCTCAATTACTTACAACCATCCGATGTGAAATCGGATAGATTGGGTGAGATACAAAGTTCAAGAAATTTTCTTTTAAAGTTTGAGCTTGGTCAATGGAATAAATGCAGCAATCTAATTTTACATCCGATGGTCAAGGTTAGTTGTGGCCACCTTGTAGATAAATGGTCTCATTGTATACTTCTCCGATTCTAAATAGCCATTTGAATGGAAGTTTCCTCATGTGAATGCAAGCACCTGAGTTCGTCATGTATGATTCGAACTAATTCATTATTGTGCATAAACACAATGCCTAGAGTGACTATGCAGACCAGCGAGAGCACAAATAAGAATATAAATTTATATTATAATGAGGAATATATACAACACAATGATAGGAATATAGAGAGAGAATGCCCAGATGACTGAGAAAATTTCTCTAGAAAACAGAACTCCCACATTTAGTCCCTACATTCTTTCTTGAAGGTGTCAAACTTAAACAATCAAAGTAAGGCGCACCTCCAAACCTTACTGAAAGAAATATTTTGAATGCCGGAAGCCCCTATAACGGCATTAAAATCTATTTTCATTCCTAATTGTAAAATTTAAAGCTCCAAAAATAGTGCAGATCAAGCAGAGATATAAAACACTTGAAAATCTAGAAAATGGATTGTCCAAATAATGTGTTACACAATACATTATTTCCATGATGATGGAACAACCTTTTTCGTGGATTTTTTATGTGCACCTTACTTCCATTGTATAAGGTTGGCACCTTATATAAACTTTTTCTTTATCCAAATCCTTGTTTTAAAAATATTCTATTATCGAGAAAAATAGGAGAGTTCAAAGAAGAAAGCTTCATAAAAATATTTAGAAATGTTGTTATCTTCTAATTATTCCTAAATAGGAATTCATTATAGGGTGTGGTTTCTATAAGGTTGAAACCTTAAACAATCCAACTAAGGTGCATCTTCAAATTTTATCATAATATATAATTTTGATGTAAAATGTTATTAGGATTATCTCAAAATCTATTTTTATATCTAATTATAAAACTTTAAATTCCAAAAATGGTTAAAATCAAGTAGATCTATAAACATATGAAAATCTTGAAAATGGACGGTGTAGATAATATGTTGTAAGATGCACCATTTCTGAGACTCAAAATATTTTTATTTTTTATAGTCATACATCTTGTTGTCGAGATGATCAATCACAGGGTTTTCCAACATTAAAACAACTTTTTTCGATGCATTTTTGAGGTGCATCTGTAGTTCTACATTTTAAGGTTGCAACCTTATATAAACTTTTTCCATCATTATAATAGGATTTAAATTATCCAAAAAATAAATTTAGAAAACGTCCACATAGAAAGTGAAACAACAATCGAAATAATAATGAATAACAATGAAATAAAAATAAAAATAATCATTTTTATCTGAATTAAATATTTGAAAATATATTAATTATCTATTCCCTCCACAAGAGCATCATGTGATGCACATGGCATTAGCTAAGAATAAGAAGTCCTTAAACCATACCTGACTCACTTAAGTGCATAATGAATAAGAATACAGCAGAACCAGTACAGTATTCTAGAAAGGCAAGTTAGCCCACCACATCAGACACAACAGTAATCCCCCTCGAAAGTAATGGTCCTCATTTGTTTTTCTTTTCTTTTTCTTTTTTTAATTGTTTAATGGTCCTCATTTCTTTGATGCAACAAAAATGCACATTGTTCATATACAAAATAATTGAGTAATGTAAATGTGCTTAAAAAATCCTCATTCAACTCAAAATATAAATTAGGTCACACGGCAAGAAAGAGTTGCCAAAAGTCAGAGGACTCCAAAACCAGAGGAATTATCAGTACTAGGAAAGGAAGAGAACATTTCCTTTCAGGTGAAGGTTTCCATCACTAAACAAAAATAAGAGATGAATGAAGAAAAACGAAGCAAATGCCATTCGCAGAAAAGGCATTCTTGGGCCAGCCCTCTTATTCTAAAGGAACCATTCATTAATTGAATTTCCACCAGAGTTTTTCAATTCACTCTAACAGTAGAAACCAAAGCCCAATCTTGAGTTGATTTCCAGAAAATAAAACATCTTCTTCCTTACCTCATCCAATCATATCATTTAACTGCAGCATGAAATTTAAAATTTATCAAGAAAAGATAACTACATCTCTCTGAAAACCCAAGGTGAGAGTGGAATGTGAAAGGAATAGTGATAATTATTTTATTATAATGACAATATGAGCGAATTTATTAATTATTCAATGCATCGTATAGTATCTGAGATTTCCCTTAGTAGTTCAGGGTAAGCCGTTTCCACCCCAAAAAGTAATAATCTTAAGGGCATTGATGTAATGCTCCGAAGCGAGATTGCCCATGTCCATCAAGATTGCAGACAGATACAGCGGATCCGGTGAATTCTGATGAATGTGTGATGTAAGCTAAAATAAATCTAATTTAAATTGGACTTACCAGACGTCATCTTGGTTCTCCATTGCATCACATAGGGGAGGTTGGGCTCCAGTCCCCCTAGTCAGGTAACATTTGTTGTCGGATGGCTTCTTCCATAAGGCAACATTTTCCATTTTATTGATTAGGGTCCAGCATAACTGTTTCGAAAGATTTTCCACATCTGCACAAATATGAACCAACATCAGGAAATGAAGGAGAGACATAGATGAAGGATACAAGAAACAGAAGAATCAATTAATAAAAACAAAGAAGAAACTTAGCCAAAAACTTGGCTTCCAATGAATGCTAGCTCTTCCTCAAATATGGTGTGCTCATAAACCTACATACCGCTCCAAAAGTTGTGCTCTTCTTCCTTTTTCACCTCTATCTTCAACAGAAAATATCCCGCACCTCTGATAATTCTATTGGCCTCAAGAAGTAGAATACCACCTTCATCACGTAATAATTCCTTCAATCTCTTAGCACATTCAAAATGCATATCACACCAAAATAAACATCAAAGAGAGATATTCAGTGTAGATTAATGAATAGGAAAATTAAAAGTCAGCACAAGATAGACATCTATAAACACGAAAATAAATCCCCATCAAAGAGAGATACTCAGTTTAGATTAATGAATAGGAAAATTAAAAGTCAGCACAAGATAGACATCTATAAACACCAAAAGTTCTCATCATATCTGATATACCTCCATTGAAATTATCCAGCATAAGATCTGTCCAGCTAGCTCATCTATCATAAAGTGAATGACATTCCATTTAGGGAACATCATTCTCTCCTAATATAACTGAATATCAATCTTCCATAATATTAATTAATATCATTTATTTTATAGTATTAGGTCAGGCGTGTAAACAGTACAACATCTCTCAAATTGGAGATCGTAATGTAACAAAGCTTAACCGTTAAATGGAGAATGAAGCCATAAGAAAAGCTCTTAGAAGCCTTAATAGTATGTACCTAAACAAACCCAAACCAAGAAACTTCCTTTTCAGACAGAATTTTAAGGAAGCCTGTGCAAGGTTTTCTCATCTGCCACAAATACAAGTTGACAACAAAATCTGGATGCCCGAGGACTGAATGAAATCTGCCGCACATAAACAGTAGGTGTAGCTTCCATCACAGTAGCAATCATGACATTGAAGGTCGATCCAATCCAACACCATTGACAATGACGGCAGTAAATGTTCACGTGATAAACTGAATTACACATTTTTTTGAGTCCCACCTCAATATACATGCAAGTTTAAGTTCTCAAAATAATTAATTATGAATATTTTTCTTTTTTATGCTCAAAGTGGTAAAACACAAAAAGTTCACAAACTATGCTTGTTTAGAGATCCAAAACTTCTAGGACAACTTATCAGCATCATCACAAAGTAATGAAACAAACCAATAGAGCCAAGTTCACGACGTACCATCACGAGTCCACTCCACATCGCATGCAGAACAATAAACCATGTCAAATGCCTCGCTTGGAAATGGGAGTCTATGCATTGCAAAGCTTGCCAGCATAGAAGGAATACCTCGCTCAAGAGATAGTTGCACCCCATCCCTGTGAAAATCTTTTGGAGCAATATGTAGACTGCTCACATTATGGAATGCAGCACCAATTCTGCCCAGACCTGATCCGACATCAAGAATAATCTTTATGTGCACACCAGGTGTGACATTGGGATGAATCTACATAAATCAAAAGCAAACATTGAAGCAATATGAGTGAATTTATCCAACCAGATGCATTACTAGGGAAAAAGCAAGAGAATAGAAATGTCAAGTAACATAGGTTACTTTAGATAAATATTTTGATAGTTCATGAGCTTGTGTATCATCTTGGACTCTAAGTTTCTCTTTGTTCTGGGTAAAGAAATTTCTCTTGATTCCATCACGAACCAGTGTCGATGGTGGAAAGTTGCCAATCCAAACCTGCCATTGGACATAATTAAAAATACTTGCCATTTTAAATTACAAAAGGGATAATGTAAAGATTGATAACAGAAGGCCACCGCACATTGTAAGAGGGAATAGGATGCAAAATCAACTCCGTATGAGCTCGAGAATCACATTAATTTGAAAGAAAAGACAATTAAATTTCACTACAGAAGTAGGTTCCTCCAATCGTTATAGAATTTACCCAATACAAATTTTGAAATCACAAGTTGAAATTTCAGCAAATTGTAATCCATTGTTCCATAAGACATATTTTCCCCCACAGAAGACAAGACACATGCAAGTCAGGGTACAACATGGCAACTGTTGTATAGATGAGGAATAAAAGGCTATAAAGGCAAAAGTAATTTACATTGGCAAATCATGATTGCAGGTTATCTAGGAGACAAAGAGAGCAGAGAATTACTGCCCACTAAGAGTGCATTATATTTTTTTCTGTTTATAAAGCGTGTGAAGCATCAATTGAAGTGACACAAACTCCACAGAGAATGTTTGGACTAATAAACAAAATGAGTAACGAACGAAGTATCTCCATTATCAATTTATGACAATCTGCCATTAGTGGTTTCAACAAATGAAGCAACACTTGCCATTTTTTGTTATGAAACTTATTTCTTAAAAAGTACTAAATGGGTAATAAGATCAGTTTAGAGATGATAAGCTAGTATGAGAATCCTAGTCTAGCTGAAAACACTAATGGCTCTCATCTAGAAGCTCTTTCCTCCCTGTAAGATCAAATGTGTCCAACTATACGTAGCATTAGATTACTTGTAAAAAGATTCACAATCAAATGAAAATGATTGAATTGACCTCGACATAACAATGTGACACCAAAGTGTGTAAGCGAAGCCGATTATGAAAGTTTTAACCTCATGCAAACCAGCTTACCAGCCCCAAAAAGATTCAAAAAGGAAAAAAAAAGAATGAAGCCATTCAGATGTGGAACTCGACCTGAGAAACATAATTTACCTCACTCAAACTTTCTGGCCAAGGAAGTGGCAGCTTATAATTTATGGGACTTGGGACCAAACAGAACCATAAGTTTGATTCACTTGGACAATAACGATCAAAGCTTTTACCTCTTGAAACAGATAAAATCTTCTTAACACCATGAAAATTATCTCGGCAAGGTACATAATTCACCATATGAGGCCCACAAAGTTCAATTCTTCCTGCATCGTCTTTCCCATTCCTCACAACATAGGATACACTATCATTGGCACCACCAGAAGAGTCACTTCCTGTTTCATATGAACTATTTACAATGGAAAATCCTGGCTCTGTAATTTTCCTAAAGTCACCTGAACGAAAAACAAAGTCTTCGGGATTTCCACTCTTCCAAAATCTTCCCAAAAAGAAGCAGGTCACACCCAACACAAAGAAACCCAAATATTTCAATCTTTTGCTCGTCTCATACTTCATTTTCTCCCAAATAAATATCCGATCACAAACCAAAGTCTCAGAAATTTTAAAATAGTCCTAAGCTTGGTCGAATTTATATTGGAAGGTGCATTTATTATCCCAGTTCCTTCTCAATTTGATTAAACAACCACGATATAAAATTTACCCAAATATCCAGGAGAAAGAAAGAAATGCTCATATGCCACTACCTTCATATGTAACTCAGTTCCTTCGTCATTTGCTAAGAAGGATAAAATGTAACTTTCTGCACTTCATCACACATGCCAAGAAAAATCAACAATTAATAGCTGTTCTATGCTCAATTCCATGTAGAAGTACTCAAGTTCTTACTTGCTAGATTGAAAACATAGAGCATAAACATCACGAAATAGTCCAATAATTTCTTCAGTCCTTCCCCAAGTCAAAATTATAAAACTACAGATAAATTTCAGATCCTACTCTTGCTTTTTTTGAATTAAATATCCTAAACTCCTTATTCATTGGATCAAGAACAGAACCAGGTTCTGAAAACTTTCCTTGCTCCTTATCATTTTAGGCCACAAAGATACAAAAAAATTATCATGTACCTAGCAAATAAATTCCAACATATGGATAACACTTACCTCAGTATCAAAAAAAATATCTCCTATTTTAACTTGACTATTCTTCATCTCCGTTCACCAAAAGCTTAAAAAACAAAATATGCTAAGCAAGAGCAAATCTTAACCCAGCTCAAACTGCTCTGGTTCTAATCGAATTCATACAGTCCAGTCTTCCACTGATGGTTTTCTATGTTCTCTTATAAATATCCGTACTATGAACAAAGAGTTCTGAATTTGCATTGACTTTGCCCTAGTTAACAAAGACCTCAGAAAGAGAAAAACTCAAACTTCTAATGCAAAAAGCTTCAAGGTGTTCATAGGGATCTGTTCCCATCAGAGTAAAGCAAACCCTAAAAATCACAAATACATAGCTTTCCTGATTTTATATGTTTAAAAATATATATAATAACAGTCCAACTACTAGATACTGGGTTCAGTCAGAACATTGGGATATGTTATGGAATAAAATAAACTAAAATAACTTCCTACAATTCCAAGTTAGCTCAAATACTGCAAAAATATCAAAAACAAAATCAAATAAATAAAGAAGCACAGCTGTTAACAAATGAAATATACAAAAAAGTAACATAAAAAGACCAAGCATGAGAAGCCGATTAGGGTTCCAGCCTGAATCAAAGGGTTTCTGCAAATTCTATGCACAATTAACTCTGTCTATATAATTACATGCATTGATCTATCTCTGCAAGCTTGCTTTACTGGTATTATACGTTTCTAGAAAAGAGTTCAAGTCCTTTGAATTTGTAAATTAACATGAAATTCAAATTGTATAGACATTTGTAGCTATCCTTTCATTTTATCACCGCATTTGGCCATACTTTTGTCAAAAAATTTCTAGTTTGGCCAACTTCCAATGAATTCTGAAAATTTTTGCGGATACTAAATTGAAGTCTAGGCAACCTAGTCCTAAATTCAGAACCAAACTCACTCTAATCGCCACAAAATTAGCTAATTTCAAGAAGAAAAAAAAAAGAAATATAAACTCAAGTAAGAATAATAGGAAAGTAGGATCTAAAAACTAAATTTCATCCAACATATATGATGAACTCAGCTCAAAGTTCCGCCAAATTTACTGAAATTGAGTGAAAGGTCATTCAAAATGAAGCAGCGCTGGCCCGAATTTCACAGTATATAACTGGAAAAGATGCCGAAATTCAAAACCCAAAATTTTATAATAATTTTTTGCACCTGATTTTGGGGATTTTCGCCGTCTTTTCACCGAGGAGAAGCTCGCCAACATCTATACTGGAAAGATTGCATTCAAATTTCAAAATATCAAAGCGTCCGAGCGGTTTTAAAATTTACCAAAAGATTTCCCTACTCCCGCGGGAGTATACTAGTCCCTTACTCTAAGGATACCTTTCTTTTAGGAAAAATTTCATAGAGAACCCTAATGCCATACATTATTTCATGGTAGACCCCCGTGTCCCTTTTTCTTTCAATCTGTATAAGGAAACCCTTAAAAATGTGACCTTACCCCTTTATCTCTTATTTTCCTCTTTTTAATTTTTTTATCGTAAAAATTAGCTTTAATAAATCTTTTTATACCATTTCAACCTAAAAACGTTTTTTTTTTTTTTGGGTTGAAAGGAGAAAAGAGGGTTAAAAAGTTTTTGAGTTGAAATAGTATAAAAAAATTTGTTGGGGCTAATTTTTATGATCAAAAGTTACTAAAAGAGAGATAAGAGATGAGGGAGTATGATAAAATCTTAGGGGTTTTCGTATATCACTTGAAAGAAAAACAGAATGAGGGTCTACCATGAAATAATATAAAGAATTAGAGTTCTATATTAAATTTTCCCTATCTTTTTTTAAGAAAAAGTTTATATAAGTTTGCAACTTTAAAGTATAGAATTACATATGCACCTCAAAAATCCATTGGAAAAGGTTGTATCATAGTTGAAAGATCCTCTAATTCATCATCTCGACATTGAGATGTATGAATGTGTAAAAAAGAATATTTTGAGTCCCAAAAACAGTGCATCTTGCAACACATTATAGATCTACATGATTTTAACCATTTTTGGAGTTTAAAATTTTATAATTAGATATGAACATATATTTTTAGATAATCTTAATATTTTTTTACACCAAAATTACATGTTATAATCAAATTTGGAGGTATGTCTTAATTGGATTGTTTAAGGTTGCAACCTTATTGAAACCGCACCCTTTTTATATCTCAAAGTTTGGATTTCTATACTATTTTATTTTTAATTTTTTTATACAAAATATTTCGACACCAAATTTTGGATGTCTAGTCCTCTCTTAAACTCGCACATGAAAAAAATATAAACAAAATATTCTTAATAAAATAACTAAATACCCCCTGAAAATTTTAAGGGTATTTTGTCATTGTATTTTATCAAAAATATTTTTAATATTAGTTTAAGTGCTCCCCATTAATATGATAGCATGTACAAAATTTCATATTCACATAATTTGCAAAACAATAATTAAAAATAAAGTATTTTGCAAGGTCGGATCTAGATCACACAGTTAGAAACTCGCTTGATCAAAATTGGATGGCTAGATGGGGGAAGTATATATCTTCCATACAACAGCGGAAGTATAAAAACATTTCCTTTAAAAAAATAACTCAAGATTGTACCAGAATTGTCCAATTTTTTTAGGAAATGATCTAAATATTTATGAACATAAAATCTAAATTATTTTATTTGAAAATAACCATCTAGTTATAACTAAATGGATCCCAAAACTTAAAATTAAAAGAAAAAAAAAAAATCTCAAGTTCGTGTTTTGTCCAAGAATAATAGAGAAAAAATTATGTAAATATGCTCTTATATTTTGCACAATGTTTAGAGAAATTTAATTTTTTTCTATAAAACAGATTGAACTTGACTTTTGGGTGTCCCAATTCTTTACCATAATGTACCGGTAAATAATATAAAAATAATAATTTTAAATAAATAAAATGACCAAAATCACAAAAATCCCCCCATAATTTTTTCGATATCTTGGTAATTTGATTTTTTTGAAGTTTTTGCAAATGCTTGGACAATAAGAAGCAATGTTTTATTTATTATAAACGTCGATTTTATTTTTGTATTATATTTTATTTATTTTTAATATTTTTTTGAATTATCGATTTGGATCGATCCATAACACCAATCCAACAATCGAACATGTGCCTGCGGGGGACCATCCACCCCATCTATCCAGGTTTTGAAATACTAGTAACAAGTATCAACACAAATTTTGAGCTCCATCTAACGTACAAAAAAAATAAAATAAAATAAAATAAAAAATAAAAATAAAAACAGGGAAAAAAAAGAAGAAGAAGATAAAATCGAAGTGCTATATGTGCCCTTATAAATTAGGACACGAGCGCATACTGGAGATATATTTTAAATTTTTAAATTAGGACACGAGCGCATATTGGAGATATATTTTAAAATTTTGAAAAAATATATGTCATGTTTATGAAAATTTCCCTATAATTTACACCCTCGAGCAAGATACTTATTTGGGAGATTTTATTGAAATGGACGGTGTAGTGTCCACATGATGTGTAGGGCTGGCAATGGGCTAGGTGGTCTGGCCCAGCCTTAGGGCATCGAGCTCAAATTATGGACTGAGGCCTGAGCTAGAGCCAGTAGTACCCGCCTAGTTTGACTTGGTCCGACGTCTTTTTTTTCTTGTTTTCTCTTTAAACTTTTTTCATTTATTTTCGTTCTTGCCCGACCCTAATAGGGCTAGGGCGGCCAAGTGGAGACAAGGGCTAAGCTAAGGCCTAGGCTCGCCAGCCCAAGCCCAGCCCGTTGCCACCCTTGATGATGTGGATGCCTATAGGGTGTACAAACATCCTTCAATTGTTCAGATTGAAACTAGTATCATCATATGGCCCAAAATGAATTTCGTATTTTGTTTTTATTTTTTAAATGATATTGATCTAGAATTTGGGGTACATATGAATATTTATATAGCACATAAAATAAAAGTGATAAAAATATATTTCAAACAAAAAGGTCCACCAAAATACCCGTGAAACATTTTAGGGGTATTTTGGTTAACTCGTTCTTTAAAATATTTATTATTATTATTTGTTCACCATATAAATATATTTATAACCATAAATATCACTTTTAAACTAAATTAAAAATAAAATACAAAACGATTTTAGTTCGTTGGATGTGGCCATGCTTGATATTGTGAAGAAGTCTCAGGTTTATCTAAAAAGACTCAGTGTCCATTATTCATATGAATATACATACTTGTCTTTTATAGACAAATTACAAAAGACAATAATAGAAACTAAATCATAGATATCTAAACCATAACTAAATTTATAATAAAGTATTGATACGCTGTCAACCCTTACCATATATACTGATTGCAATATATGCTTTCTATATTAACCCAATACACAATATACATTTTCTTTTCATACTCCCCCTCAAATTCAAAATGCGAGAGAGAGCAGCTGGAGTTTGAATACTAATTGCAGAAACGAGCAGTGGGATCTTCAAGTGCATACTCAAATTGCTTGATCAATAAGCACCGAAAGCAATGGCGAATCAACAAGCCTCGAGAACAGATGGCTTCATGAACTCTTGAAAAAGATCAAACAGATCAGAGAGTCGAAACACGACTCGACATAGAGACAGATCAGAGAGTTGAAACACAACTCGGTAGTGAGACAAATCAGATAGTCGAAACACGACTTGACAGAAGTTGCACCGACTGGGTGAGCAATAGACTTGTATTGAAAATTGGTGACAACGCTTCAGGGACGAAGAATGTACACAACTAAGATGAATCTGGCTCTGATACCATGTGAAGAAGTCTCAGGTTTTTTTAAAGAGACTCAGTGTCCATTGAAAGGGTTGCGCACCCTTCCACGGTCCACATGTGGATGGGGTACTTTCTTTTATTGAAATTTTGACATCCACCTAAAAGTTATCTATATGTAAATTATGGGGTGGATACGTCCCAAAATTCAAATGAGACCTTAAGGATTTAGGGCAAGTGACCCTTACAAAAAAAAAAGGCAGAGTATGTTGTAGGATAAATGGATTCCTTTCTCTTGTGATATGAGATATATTTTCAAATTAGGTTTACCTACAAAGAAACTGTTTAGCTTTTGTACATGTAGATCATAATCATTCATACTCATTTGATGTCAAATTTGATGGCTTAGGGAGAGTCACGAGGTCTAAGAATTTTTTTTTTGAACTTTGTATCTATTCAATGACAATCTTACAACTACCCATTTAGAAATTTAAGAGACAAAAATGGTTGTAACCTCCCTGTACAAAAAATAAATCATTTCTATCAAGACAATACCTTTAAATTTCTATATTTTCTGAATTTTATGGAATTCCATATACTAAATCCTTACCTTACCATCCATATAGTCCGAAAGCAATACGTTCAAGTCCTCCCCTAAAATATCTTTCCTATTCCTTTTGTTCAAACCAAACTTCAACCCTCCATGCCTCTTTTGGTTTTCAAAGCCTACATTGGGTACTCTCTCTCTCACCAACGTGGGAGCATTCTTTTTTAGAATTTTCTAATGGAGAACGTTTCCATGCGGCCACCCCGCATCTTGTAGAAATGCGGGCTTGCCAATAAATATATTTTAAAATATAATTTGTATCCTAATGTTTAGAGAATATATAATCTTTAACATGGAGATC